CCCCGCTTAGCTTTAACTTCTAATCCTGTGGTAACGGCAAATGAGCGGAGCAATGTTTCCATTGTGGTTTCACCCAAACCCTCCAAACCAGAAGGAAAAAGTTCTAGCGCCAACATGGCTGGCCTGAGAAACCAGCAAGAGAGCGTTGCAAGGTTTCATGTTACATGTTCAAAACCAGACTCTTCACCGCCAGTTGGCGTCTTCAGTGCCAGGCTACTAAAGGAATCCAGGCACACGTACCCCTCTGACCAAGGGAGAACCAAGAGCTTCGCTAGGGTGAGCCTTTATATTTCCAGATTTCCATTCTGAGTACGGCTTCTTCTAGAAATCTGGGAGTTAGATGTAGACAATGAACTCCATGGAACAAGAACCTCGACAAGCCATTTTGTGGTCACTTAGCAGACTGACCATGTTTCATACAGGCCACATGACAGAAAGTCACTTATTTTCTCTAAATCACCCTTCCAAACCAGCCCCTTTACTACTGAAAGGTTAAGACCTCTTTTTTTAGAATTAAAAGGAAAAAACCAACAAAACACAAAGTAAGTTACACTTTAGCATAGTTCTTTCCCCCAGACGTCACCTCTCCCAGAAATGCAACCCGAACATTGCTGGCCAAAGGCAAGGATAATATATTTGAAGGTAAACATGCTATTGAGTCAAGACACACACCAGGTAATCCTGCCATGCTGTTTACATTCCTTACACTGACCTGGTCACTACCCGGGAATTCTGCGTCTTGATGTGCATGATCTGATAATGGGGGGGAGGGCCTTCAAAGAAGTTCCTTTTAGAGACAGAGTTGAAACTATGTGTCTGTGACTTTACAAACTGAAGAAAACATCCCTACTGGAGAACTGAAATTGTCAGAAAAAAGAAAGTTAACAAAGCCCTTTGACACATTAGTCCAGAAGCCAACAGTGTTAGTATCCAGTGGCTGGAGACCCACAAAGCACAAAGTGAGGAATAGCATTAGCCCGGGCAGGAGTCTAAGACACCCAGCTGCACCCCCAGGGATGTGTGGCCCCCCAAAGCTGAGTGTACTAGGGCAGGTGAGGATCACGGGAGCCTGCTGTGTCTCAGCCACGGGCAGGCCTCACACTGAAGTCACGCCGAGATACGGATTCAAAGACAACATCCAACCCAGGTGCTGGCTGCTGCCCAGTCTGCCACCCGTCCTAGGGCCTCCCAGTGGCTTCCATGGAGGTCCCTACGCCTCGCCTGTGCGTGGGGCATGGCTTCCTGTGCTAACTCACTCTCTGTGGTAGGTTCCTGCCAGGCAGGGGCTATTAGTAGACAGTTGATAGATGTAGAAGCCTCCCAGGAAGGTTGGTGACTATGGTCACACAATAAACTACAAGGAAGGCAAAGTCAGAGTTGTCCTCCCAAAGGGAGACACCCTACCCCATCTTACATCATCCTTTTCCTGAATATCTTTTTAAAAAAGAAGTTGCAAATTTGGTCATTAGTAGACAAAATAACCAAATTTTGAAGTACCTAAAATAAAACTGTCAACACTTACCACACTTATTTTGAGCAGCTTTAGTTTGATGGCTACCGTGTATCTCCTGCTAAGAGGATGAATTGACACGTACACACCACACAACTCCTCGTTATGATGTTTGGCCCAACACATATGGCTTTTCCAGTCTGAAGCCTGAAGCCTGAAGCCTGAAGCGGTACACACAAGTCTGAAACTGTTGGAGTCACTCCATGGTCAGGATTCTACACAGAAGGCTGTGTGACACCCACAGGGGTGCCCACATCAGTCCTAAGACTTGGAGGGACACGCTGGTGCAGCTTCTCCAAAGTTCCAGGCTTCCTGGGAGCTACTGATCCAGTCAGTTCCACAGTTCTCAATATGAAGAGAACACTGGCAGGGAGAAGCCCAGAGCCACTTTATGCTCCCTGGGGGGGGGGGGGGAGGAGCACACAGGTCTTGGGGAGGGCACACAGGTCTTGGGGAGGGCACACAGGTCTTACTCATGGTGGCCTCACCTGGCTGTAGTAGGCAAGAGAACAGAGCAGGACAGCACTGGTCTGCAACATGCACTTACCTTACCTGAAATGAGCTTGGACAAGAGGCAGCTCTCAAGTGACTCACTGCCACCGACAGTGGGACTTTAGGGTTGCTCCTTTATGATTATAAATAAATAGATAGATAGATAGATAGATAGATAGATAGATAGATAGATAGATAGATAGATAGACAGATAGATAATAAATATCTATCACACTTGTTCTGGGATTTGTCTGTCAACAGTGAAAAGTGACATTTTGATATTCCAAACACTTTAATTGAGGCAGACTTTACAGCCCAGGCTGGCTCTTGGTCTTTAACTCACAATGCTCCTGCCTCCACACCTCCCTACACTGAGGCTGCAGGCACAGGAGCTTCTCTCCCTCACTTCTGGTGGCTTTGTCCCCCTGCTTCCTCTTTTGGGGAGCAGATCCCCCACCCGCCCTACCTCACACAGCTGCTCCACAGAAGGGCTTCTGAAGAAAGACAGTAACGAAGCACATCCTTCTGGAGTTCAGTGACTGAGTTTTTTCCTCCTCCAAAGTGCTGTTTTCCGGTCACTTTCGAACCCTCTTTAGTGCACCTTCCTTTTTCTGGTAATCTAATCATCTCTTCCTCGAAACCTGAGTTAAGCATTGAGAACCTACTTTTTTTCTTGAAGGAATTTAAATTATCACAAGAACCAAAATGGACTGCTTTAGTAGGCAAAGGTGATGATCTTTGAGTTTTCAAAAGCATCTGATATTGGTATTTCCTAAGTGCTGGACACGGTTCTGAGAAGCCAACTCTACTCCGTACAGCACCATCACAGATTTGGATCCTCATTTTCAGCTGAACCCAGACAACAGCTGACCACAGCTGTCCACAGCCTGCTTCCAAACGGTGACGGGTGAGCTGTGTCACTGACCTAAGAGCGCTGCGGCTGTGCAAGTGTGCATGCCCAGAGCTGAAGGCACAAGAGCACTCAGGAGCGAGCCGCACACTCTGTTATTCACCTGAAACTTTCTACCAATATTTGGCATGGCTTCATGAGAACCGTTTTTGAATTTGGTTTACACATTCATCTTTCCTACTGGAAAAAGAATTGATTAATGGGGTGAAGTAGCAGATGCCTCCCTATAATGCCAGCAATCTGGAGGCTGAGGGAGGAGGACTGCCATCAACTTTGAGGCCAGCCTGGGCTATACAACAAGACCCTAAATAAATAAATGACTGCGGGGGAGGAAGGTAATTGTTTTGGGTGGGAAAGCCAATTCAGATCAAAATGGACAAGCCACACACACTAAAACTACCACAGAATGAACCAAAATCTAAGAATTCAATTTAGAAACGAGCTGCCGAAGCAGTCCTGGAATTAGGTTAAATATTTAGAACACTGAAATTTAGTGTGTGGGGGTGGGGGATAGTGATCAAATAACATGGAAATTTAAACTGAAACCAGAGAAAGACCCGATACTGTGCTTTTAGAATAAAACTATATCGAGTACATGCACACACACACACACACACACACACACACACACACACACACACGCACACGCACACGCACACGCACGCACGCACACCCAACAGCAATATAATGAGATCATTAAACGATTGACATAAATGTACATTTCCACCAAGACATATCTAGTAACATAATAGCAATCAACAGTGTATTTAACAGTCAGGACAAACGCGGAAGCAGGACCCTACAGTGATGTTTGCCTGAGATCCCACCACTTCGGCGCCCTGTAATGAGGTATTTGCATAAACGCTTGGTCACATTTAAACTCAAGTTCTTTTGTAGGAAAAGGGGGTGGCCATTAGGAAAAACCAACCACATGCCTCCCGCCCGCACGTCGGCACAGCAGCTTCGGCATGTACTTCCTCAGCATCCACACGGTTATTAAAGCTATGTACTTGTTATTGGTTTTTTTGGTGTGTGTGTGTGGGGGGAGGATGCTGGGGATTGAACTTACGTGAGCTAAGTACAGCCCCCTACCAATGAACTACACCCCCAACTTGTACAGCTACTTCCAAGGGTGAGGACTGCACATTTCACCTGCAGTCGGTCCTGAGTCCAGAAGACAAGGAAACAACCAAGGCCTCAAACCAAATGAAGGAGTTGAAACTGCCAGAGTAACACGGAAATTATTTAGCAATAAGCACCAACCAGCTCCTTGCGAAAGTGATACTGGTTCATTTAGCCCAAATACTGGCAGGCTATTGAAATCCACATTTGGAAAAGCTTTAGAAGACATAGGGAAATTGATTCACTTTCATTTGAATTTTTCTAAACATTCATTTAGTGTGTGTGTGTGTGTGTGTGTGTGTGTGTGTGTGTGTGTGTGCGCACTGTAGTGTGCCATCATGCATTCTCTCCTCCCCCACTCAGGTCTTCAGGCGTGGTGACCCCCCCCCCCCACACACACACTCTTGATTCTGGAATCATCACTTGAGCTGGACTCCAGGGAGCAATTCCCTTTCATGGCTTCTCCTCCTCTCTCCCCTGGCCTCTGTGTGTGACATGTGTCCTGGTCTTCCCACAGAGCCCAGACTGGCCTCAAACTCAGTCGTCTTCCTGCTCCAGCCTCTTCTAAGAATCGGACACTTGCTCTCTCTCATTCATTCACAAGTGTGGTGCAATCAGTGACCCAAGCTCACCACTCCGAAATGTTCAACAAAACAGGGCATTTTAATTCAGATCATGAATTTACAGTAGCAACTGTAAACACTCACTGACTGCCAGCATGTGGTGACCATGCCAGTGATCTTCAGGGAATTTTATCCTGACCTAAACAGGAGTTGGTGCTGTCCTGAAGGCTCTCCCAACAGCCGGAGGTGCTCCCAGGATTAGCACTGACGACTTTAACAGCCTGAAACACTTCATACTTGTCTGGAGTGTGCTTAAGGAATTTATTCATCTGCTGGTTAAGTAAAAGAGCTAAGTTAGTACCCTAAATCTTGAAAGCTCTCTTTGAATGTAATTTTCACAGTCTTTACATTTTAACTGTCATTGTTTATTACTGGTTGGCTACATTCTCTATAATTCCAGCAGCATCTTAAACAGACAATGTGTCTATGTACAATGGAAAAAAAAAACACAAACGAACGAACAAAATGGCTTGCAACATCAGGTAAGAGCCACAGTTTAACTGTACATGTTAAGGGGTATCTGGAGGGAGAGTGTGTTTTCTGCACCATGGACAACTTACATGTAAGTCTCAGCATTATGACTGTGACATTAAAGAAAAATGAAATACAGCATCCCGAAAAATATTGGTTTCTACCACACAAGGCAGTTAGAAATTGTTCACATTTTAACAAATCTGTACAAACCCACAAGAAACATTCTATGGGACCAACATCCCACCTTGATGCTAAGAACTTTCTAGAAATGTAGAATAACCATGAACAATTTATAAATCTAGTATCTATGTGCTCCACAGCCCTAGAACCTAAAAAACTGATTTAAAGAACTCAATATGCCCAACATGGATCATTTTACATGCCTTGATTGTTAATGAATGCTTGCTTTTAATATCTCTCTATGATGTACAGTCAACTTGTGCCTTCAGGGAGGTCATTCAATTTTTTTTTTTTTTTTAGCAAAAAAGCAATATCATTTAGCAGCAATTAAAGCGCCTTCAAGAAGACTTAAAAAAAATACAATATCCAATTAGAAAAGCCGTATTTTTAAACATTTGTACAAGAATAAGCTGCTGAAACTCAGTAATTGTAATACGACATCTGTACAGTAATTTACAACAGAGCCAGAAGGGAATTTATCATTATCCTGCATAGAACTGGCCTGCTTTTGGTTACACACTGTCTCCTGTTTTAGTGAACGAGGCCGGGAAACAGAAGAAAAATGCCTGTTAATTCTAAAACACTGAAAGCCCTGGGAATACTATAATTTAGTGACTTCAACTGATTGGAAATAGGCAGCTCTTCGTGTTAAAGGTGTCAAGTGTCCAGAAATGACAGCTCCCTTTAAACACAACCAGTGGGGAAAACGGACATGTGATTCGAGGTACAACTTGGTAAAAGCCAGAATAGGCAACGACGAAGTCCGACTGTCCACAGACCGTAACTCTCACACTCTCTTATAAACAGCACGGCCGCTGTCACTCAGTTCTTGCTTTGGTTTCTGCAGATCAGCCACCGAGTGCTGACGCTGCACCAGGCACTGTAGCTCCGTGTTACAATGTCCAATAATCTTTCCATGTGTTCTTAAATAATGAAAAACTACCCTTCATATTAGAACTCTGGTAACCATCAAATATATTTAGGTATTATAAACGTTATTTACAGTGTCCCTCTTCCGCTGTGACATGGTATTCCTGTTCCGTGCTGCTCCGGGGCCGAGGGAGGAGTGTGCACTCAGTCACGTCCATGATCACCCTCACACAGGACTCCACGGAGAGCTGTAGTTCACAAACACTTCTTACCCAACCCTCAAATGCACTCAAATTCAAGTATGCATCTGGAAACCAATCCTGGAGCGTCAGTACGTGATCACGCTTGACGGGGGAGGCGCAGGAGCAGCCGCCAGTCCAGACATGTGCAGGTTTCCTGAAGAATTGGACCTTCTCATGTGTGGCAGAAGGTAGGGGTCATTTGCCAGCTGGTGCACATCGAATCGATCTTCTTTTCGGTAAGCCAAACAGCGTCTTATGAAGGCCTTGAAAAGAAAGACAGTAATGTAAAGGACCTACCTTCTAGACACCAACCCACCAAATCCCACAGAAGGGCGGGCACACTTAAGACTGTCAACAGACCACATTTATAGGAAGTTCAAACCGTAAGAACTTTGGGGGTAAAATGAAATCTTCACTCAAATTTGAACCCTCCACCAATACCCCTGGGTGCCACATTATAGCCTCAATTATTGCTTCCTTTGGACGTACTGTTGGAAAGTTCCCTTTCTGCTTAGAAATTGTTTCTAATTTATTTTTATTTCATGTGCATTGGTGCTTTGCTTGCATGCATGTCTGTGTGAGGGTGTCAGATCCCCGAGACTGGAGTCACAGGCGGTGGTGAAGTATGTAGATGCTGGAACTGATTCTGGGTCCACTAGAAGAGCAGACAGTGCTCTTACCCACACTAAGCCACCTCTCCAGCCCCCCTTTTTATACACTGAAGTAGCTCAGCATTAGGACGGGTAGACTGAGTAAGACCTAAAAGTAATGAAGGTCCAGATGTTGTGGTTTCTCCCCCAGTTTTCAGAGAAAATCAACTTGCTGTGCACACAGAGTGAGGAAGCATATTTTAGTGCTTGACAAGAAGACAGCAAACCCAGAGGCCAAGCAGCCCCGCTTCCAGAGCAAGTCAGCCCCCTGCTGCAGGACCGGAGCCACTGACCACACCAGAACCGTAACGCAGACGCTTCACAAAAGGGATGTGAGGTTCATACCTTGGCTTCACTGCTCACAACTGGTTTGACAGGGAACTGGACTTCTGTGGCTTTTAGTATTGTGTTTTCCTGGAGAATGTCTTGTTGGGATTGATTGTGACCAAATGGCTTTAAAAAAAAGAACAAAATATTGAAATAAAATAATTAATACAAAGACTCACCACAAAAATGATTTGTATTTTAACATTTTGCTCTCAGTTACTTGAAAGTTGGGATGTGATCTCAGAGAAACAAGGTTATAGCTAAGACAGGCTGGAAAGGCTTCTTCCGTCAGTCCTCAGCAGAGACACCCCACGTGATGGAGAAGCAAATCAGGCTGTCATTCAAGTAATGAGGAGGAAACAGCTCTAGATGTGGAGCCAGGAGAGCCGGGTTTGGTTTCTATGCTGGTCAGTTTTTATCAATTTACCATAAGCTAGCGTTGACTGGGAACCTCAACTGAGAGCTGCTCACTGAACGGCCTCTGGGCATGTCTACAGGGCATTTTACTGCTTGGTAACTGGTGTGGGAGGGCCATCCCTGGAAAGGTAGTCCGTGGGGGAACTAGAAAGCAAGCTGCGCAGGCTGAACAAGCCAGTAAGAGGCGCTGCTGTGGAGCCTTGCTTCGTTCCTACGGAGTTGGACCTTCGCTTCCCTTGATGGTAGATTATCACCTCCAGGCTGACCTGCAAATGTCTTCCCTGCCCAGTTGCTTCTGGTCATGATGTTAATCTCAGCAACAGAAAGCAAATGAAGACAGTTTTTATATGCTGCACAGTTCTAGAAGGTTCTGTCTTTCTTCTCATAGTGTTGGAAACTGGGTGGGATGCAAACTAGATGTTATCCATGGCAACCTGCATTTCTGATTTTACTATTCACAGAGGTTTGGGAAAAACTAACTCTGATGGCATTTCTCTGAGGAGTTCCAGGAGGAATTGGTACCCAGGTCAAATGTCTGCAGGGGACAGTGAAGTTAAGAGAAAGCGTAAGGAATGAAGGACATGGCAAAGTGCTTCACTCCAGAGTTCTCAAAAGACAATGTTTGAGGAAAGGGAAGGAGGAGGAGAGACCAAGCAAATCAACTGTTACAATAATTCTGATCCAAAGAAGCAATCAAGAAGCGTGCCTTTCCTTGGAAGGATCTAAACTGATTCTAAGTTACTGAAATGTTGCACGTCAAAGACAAGACCAAAATGACTTCACCGATTTCTCCACAGCTGAACTGATGCGGCACAACTTACTTTTCTCCCATAGAGACACTGAAAGAAGATGACTCCAACCGACCACACATCAACCTTGTTGGAAATCTTTGGCGGCTCTTTTCCAACTACAAAGCACTCAGGAGGCAAATACCTATAAGTAATGGAAGGGGGAAAAGAAAGGAAAGGATGCCATGTTTAGCTTAAAACTTTCTAAATCTTAGAATGTTTATTTTATTTACACATAACCTCAGTTTTCAAAAATGAAAACCATCAAAGTTTTAATTCATTTGACTCCAGAACCAAAATACAACTTTGTAAGAAAGTATATTTATATTCAAAGAAAGCACTATCATTATTGTGATAGTATAATTGTGATAGTATAATCTGAGTAAGTTTCTAATAACAGAAGGAACACTCTCCTACCCTACTCCAACAGTTTAACCTGCAGGCAGTTCTCCTAAAATACACACCACACCACAGACTCTCTCCATTAAGCCATCCAAAGCGAAGACTTATTCCAACGAGACAGGATCTCATACTTCTTTTTGTTGTTATTGTTTTTCGAGACACGGTTTCTCCATGTAGTTTTGGAGCCTGTCCTAGATCTCGCTCTGTAGACCAGGCTGGCCTCGAACTCACTGAGATCCACCTGCCTCTGCCTCCCAAGTGCTGGGATCAAAGGCGTGTGCCACCACCGCCCGGCCATATTTCTTATTGTAATGTAAGACCTATCCTAATCCTAACATAAATTTCAAAATCTGCAATCACTATTATTCCCTTTCTTCTTCCAAACTGTCTAGTCAAGGCCAACTCAACCACCTCTGAATATGAGCTTTCTCTGTTGCCTTCTGTGGGCATATAGAACATGGCTTCCTTCCCCATGTCAGGGAGACTGATGTGCATATACAAAAGCATTTCGCTCTCCTTGCACTTCAAGAAGCACAAGGAGCTTTATCATGCAGTTTCAAGCACTACCAGTGTGTGAAATATACTAAGTATTCAAACACTAATTTTTAAACATGAAAGGTAAAAATAAGTTTGTTATCTCGTTATAAGTAAAACAATCCACCGAGTGGTGGCGGCAGCACACACCTTTAGTCCCAGCACTCAGGAGGTAGAGGCAGGTGGATCTCTGTGAGTTCGAGGCCTCCTGGTCTACAAAGCGAGTTCCAGGACAGCTAGTGCTGTTACACAGTGAAACCCTGTATTGAAACCCGCCCCCTGCTCCCAAAGTAAAACAATACATCACAGATGCAAGCAGCAGACAACTCAAACTTTGAGAAACTAAAAATAGTAAAAACAAGTAATGCAGTTAACCATGGTTCACTTAAAAATACTGCTCTACTCCATGCTGAAGGAAGGGTCTACGTGTGTGGCTGAAGGAGCATGGCTCTTGAACGTGCAGACCTCTCACCATACAAAGGACATATAAATAAGCAAGGGGGCAATGACAGGGACAGTTTTGTAGGTGACAAATTTGACTGCGCTGGACACCAGTAAGGGGAAGAAACAAAACTGACTTTTCCTTAGTGACACTGACTACAATGTTAAGTTTTTATAGATGAGAAGTATCTTATAAAAGGCTCATCCCAGTCTCCAATTACACAGCTAAATAACCTCAACACTGAAAACTAATCATTTGTTGGACCACTGTTTCTTTGGGAAGTGTATTCCTGTTGTTGTTGTTTTAGAAGAACATCATTCCTCTCCTGCAAGCCCCTAAAACAAGATTTCCTGCTCAGGTCTACCTGTAAGAGGGCCATTTCCTCTCACTGTTCAAAATTAGTGAAGTCAGGGTGACAGAGAAATCAACGAGGAGTGTTCTACAGAGAAGAAAGCTTTTTATTTACTACAGGTCTCTAGGATTTTTGTTGTTAAAAAAAAAAAAAAAAAAAAAAGCCTGTTCAAAAAAGGCTAAAAGACCTCTAATTGAGACTATTAACTTTTAGGAGAGTACAAGTTTGAGTGACAGTTTTCTTCAATGGGAAAACAGCAACTTGACTTTCACGAATATCACATTTTTTTTGGTGGTGCCATGATATGACTTTCACGTGGCTTAAAGATAACCACAAAAGACTAATTCCTCTTTAGGAAAGGGAACTCAGCACAAATCTGAGCAACTCAGGGTAATGGTCAACATGGGCCCAAGCAAATGGTGTCAAGGCTGCCCTGGGTAGCTTTATGTAGCTCTCTTCCCAATAAAATCTAACTTCTTGATAATCTCATCTTTTTGAGAATTAGGTTAGTTTTGAAAATGTTAGTCTGTATTTTCTACTTTGGTGCCCTTGGCCGTAAGTGTGAGAATTCACACTCAAAGGTTTTGGTAAACACCTAGTATTCTGGTTCGTGTCATGTCAACTTGACACAGGTCCCTCAGAGTCTGAGTCCCTGTCCTGACTTCCTTTGATGGACTAAGATGTGCAAGTGTAAGCCAAACAAACCCTTTCCTCCGACCTACTTGCTTTTTGGTCATGGTGTTTCACAGCAGAAATAGTAACCCTAACTAAGACATCTACATACTAATAACATTCAGGATGACTTTTTACATTCAGGATTTGGTTTCATTTATATCTACATAAAGAGATTTTTGAGAGTCAAATCTAAAGACTAAAATTATGATGAATTTATCTACAGTCTATAATTAATAAACTCTGGATCTAGTATAAAAAACTATTTAAAAAAAAATCACAAAACTTCTACAGAGAAGGCCTGAGGTTCACAGTTCTCACTAGTGACAGCCGGGACACTACATCTTAAGTACTTATTCAGATCATAACTATCACTCAACACCACAGAGGAAAACTCATGAGTCCTGCTTCACTCCGGCTGCTATATATTAAAGTTGTATGTGTATGCTCAGACATTCTTCTTGCAACTTAAGAATGCAGAGAAGAGAATACTAGCCACTGGACTCTCCTTCTCTATTCAGAGGCTTAGGATCAATGCCTTTAGCAAAGGAATCTCAAGGAATATTTGAAAATGAAACTAAATTTTCAGAAAACACTGAGAACTAATCTAAGTAGTCTTGATATTTTTACTGAATCATTTACCAGTAAGTGCCTGCCCCTTGGGAAGTCAGATCCATTCCGTCTACACCATAGCTATCATCATCCATAATCTTGGACAGACCAAAATCAGTGATTTTGATTTCTCCACACGCTGTTCCATCTACCAGAAGGATATTTCCTAAAACCAAAATAGAATACTTTTTAGTAACACACACACACACACACACACACACACACACACACACACACACACACACACACGGAAGAATAATTTTTACAACTAGAGTAATGTTTGGTAAACAAATGTGTATCTGGGGACTGTTATGTTGGTACAGGCCTTTAATCCCAGCACTCAAGAAGCAGAGGAAGATAAACCTCTATGAGTTCATCCAGCCCAGGCTACACAGGGGAGCCCTGTCACAAAATACAAGCAAAAAGCAAACCCAGGCCCCACACCTCCAGAAAAAAACAAACAAACAAACAAACCCCACCCTGTTAAGACGTTTCCTGAAATACCTGGCTTAAGGTCGTAATGTATAATAGGAGGTTTGATCTCATTGAGATACCGTAGGGCGTTCACTATCTGCATCACAATCGAGCGAGCCTCCTTCTCGGACATCAACTTGTGCTGCTTCAGGTAGAAGTCCAAGTCATTGCCTTCACAGTACTCCAGCACTGTACAAAACCTGCGGGGGGGGGGGGGGGGGGGGGGGGGGGGACGGGACGGGACACGGACCAGTCATTACCCAGGCCCGAGAACCTAACAGAGAGAGAGGAGAACACAACACGTGCAGGGAAGGCCCGAAACAAACCCGCATCCTCAGGAGTCGCATCTTTGTTGACTTACGTATCTGTATCCAAGGAGAAGTAATCATAGAGTTTAACTATTCTGGGGTGATCCAGCTCCTTGTGTATTCGATACTCTCTGCAGGCATGTTTATGGTAGTTTTCTTTTTTTTCGTCTCTCCAGCTTTTATTAAGCTGGTGGATCTTCACAGCAGCGTATCTTTGCTCATATAAGTCAAAAGCCTACAATTCAAGGTAGAACATGATCACATTGTACATCAACCAAACAGTTAAACAGACTTAAGTTTTAGTGATAACTTTTGCAAAAACTACTGATCATATAGTACTATATGCAGTTCAATGATACACTTAAATAAGACCGAAATGTCTTGGTGATGAAGCAGAAAAGCTGAGTCATGATAAAACAATGAAGCTAGCATTCTTTTTAAATACGGCCTGCTCCTTTATATGGGAAATCTTACAGGGAGCAGTGAGCCACACAAATGGCTATGACACTGTTCTGTGTGTTATAGGATTTTTATCTATATTTTCTTAGCAACTAGATTAATACATTCTTTTTAATTTTAAAGTTGTTTTTATTTGATGTGCATGGGTTCGATCCCTCTACGTTATCTGTGCACCTGTGCATGTAGTGCTGTAGAGGCCAGAAGACGGCACTGGGGTCTCTGAAATTGGAGTTATAGATGGGTGCGGGTGGTGGGAATCTGAACCAGGTCTTCTAGAAGAACCATCAGTGCTCTTGACGACCGAGCCATCTCCAGCCCCGATTAACAGGTCCTTAACAATTCTCTAATTACTGAAAAAAACTTCTTTTGTTACGAAACTGTTCAATCTATACTCAAGAGAAGAAGCATAATGAATGTTTATGTATTTACTATTACCTCTATTCCCTTTAGGGTGAGACAGTACGTGAATCTAAATCCAGGTGCTATGTATGTTAAGTGAGTGCTCTACCATTAACCACCACCTCCAGCCACCTGACTTATTCCCCATATAATATTTAGAAAATAAATCCTGCTAATTCTTTAGCATTTATCTCTTTAATTTAATCCAGTATACAATCTTCATTCAATTTTCCCAACTGTCTCAAAAAAAAAAAAAAAAAAAAAGGGCTCAAATCACTAGCCTCTTTGATAAAGAACAGGAATAGTATCAGTACTTTAAACTTCACATAATTTATAAGTGTTTTAAACCTCTTATTTTATTTTAGGTAACCTTGATGTGATCTAAACAATAAACATTTTTAACTTCATCTATGGGTACAAGTGCAGGCATCTTCAGAAGCCAGGGCATTAGATCACCCTGAGCTGGAGGTACAGGCAGATGTGAGTCTTCTCCAAGGGTGCTTGGAACTGAACTCAGGTCCTTCAGGGAGCAGTGCACACCCTTACTGCAAGCCACCTCTGCAGCCCATAAATGTTGGACACAGCAAATGCCATCAAAGAAAGCTTAACAGCTTAAGTTTCCTTGTGACTTACATGCACAGACACCCCTTTAAGAAGTACTTAGTAACTTCTGTGATTGTTCAAAGAACCCCTACCTTGTTGGCTTAAGCAGAGGGAAACACTTTCCTAGTTAGCTTCAGCTGTCAATCTGACACAGCCCCCAGTGATCTGAGGGCGCTGCAGGAAGAGACTGACCTGACTGACTGGCCAGAGTGCAGCCCCCCTCGAGCATGCGGTCCTGGGCTATGGATAAAGGGCGAGCACAAGCCAGAGGAACCAAGCCTGTAAGCAGCATTCCTCCATGGTTCTTGCTTCCAGCTCTGGCCTTGAGTTCCTGTGTGGCTTCCCTCAGTGTGGGACTGTACCCTGTAAGATGAAGTAACTGTCCCCTCCCCAGCTTGTCTTGGTGTCTGTCACAGTAAGAGAGAAATAAACTAGAACAGGGGTAGAGTGACTCTGTGACAAAACTATCACCTGTGACGTCAACACAGCGGAGGAGCAGAGCCTCCAAGAATGGGGAGACTGAGTGCTGTAAGTAGCAACACCCTCTTGGAACCTCCGGTTTCTTTATAGTCAGAATGGCCGAGAGGATGACATGAGGACTACAAAGGGCTAAGAACAGACCTTAGACCCTGGACAAAAGACAACAGAACCCACCATAAGCTCCTTTTTTAAATGAGACTGAGGATCAAAGTCAGTCTAAAATCAGTACACGAAACCCACTTATTTTCTAACCACACCCTCAGCACGAGGAACAGAGAACATTACCTTATACACCTCACTAAAGCCACCTCTTCCAAGTAGATGAAGTAATAAATATCTTTCATTTAACGTTGGATGATCTTTGAACCTTCAAATGGAAGGGAGAAAAAACTATTTAGGCACATAAAAGAATACAAGGAGTTCTGTGTCCATCAATGCCCACTCTTGACTGCTCCCAGCTGTCTGTTTGTTTCTCTGCTCTTCACGTCGCAGACCAGTCAGCAGTTCTTCTATTCCCTCTCTATCTTTCTACAAATGTCACCTGTGCTAAGCTTCAGCACTTACAAAGTGTAACTATAACAGCTAGCCACTAACAGCACCCTCTTAAAGACCCTCAATTACGCTCTATAGGAAACCCCTTATTCCTCATAAACCACTTTTCTTGCCAAAATATACATTTATATTGAGTCATGAGTGATCAAGATTTTATAGTACTGACTTGCATTTAAAAATAATTGTATTTATCAACTGATCTTTGTTCATGGTTATTATCTTAGTTCAACTTTGAAAGTAAGAATTTAAAAAAAAAAAACTTAAAAAAAAATCACTCTCAAGTAATACATACTACCAGTACTAGTTAGTGTTTATTGGAACTGCTATATATTAAAGTTAATACATGCTATCATTACTTGTTAATGCTTATCGTACCTGTACATATTAAGCAACCTACACAATAAGTTCATTTGTTTAGTTCTCAAGCAATCCTATAGAACAAAGCCTGCTCTGTGTCTGTTTACAGACGAGGGCTCACCTGCTACACAGGAGGGGTCAGACTGGGTCAACTGTCTGGACAAGGTTAACAGTAAGACATGCCAGAAAAACACAGTCTCCAAAATTTATACTCTGACAGCAACAGCTTTAAAACGCCAGGTGCAAATACAGCCCACTTGTCTAATCTTACTGAAAATTATGAGTATAGGTTAGCACGGTTTCTCCTGAAAACTGTAGAAAACAGATTTCTGCTTAGACTGGAGAACACTGTAAAACTGTAACAACTTACTTTCTCTAAACTTCTGAAACCACAGCCACAAATACTAAACTTAATTTTCAAAGAAAGTTCATTTTCAATTAGTTTATCCCATCTGTTTTATTAAGACTTTAGTTTGGTAGCATTTAGGGTGTTCTCTATTATTTCCTTTCTCTCACATGCTAAAGTGGTGTTTATGAATCACACATCTACAGATGATCACAAGGTCCCGCTGTAAGCAAGGTGCTCACATCTCACAGGAGAAAATACATATGAAGTCATGCAGCTTTCCATAACATCGCTGCCTTAGAGATCAAGTGTCAACAGACACATTTCTCTCCTACACTCTAATAAATGAAGACCCAGTAAACACAGGTTATTTTTTAATGTACCACCCAAGACACTCATTCTAATAATTAGATTTAAACCAGAGACTACAATTTGCAGTTCTTTCCCATTTCTTCCTATATTGTCTGATTTTAGATACATAACTTGTAATACTTTCTCCTTCATTCCTGTACCATTCATTTTGACATCCAGTCAAGAAACATCTATTAGGCGCCTACCATGTCCCGGGCACTGTCTTAGGTTTGATAATAGGGAGAGGACAATCATGATCTTGTTCAGAAAGCTTACAGGTTACGGGGAGGAGACAGTAAATAATTAAAGAACAGTCAGTGACAATCATCACGGAAAATTAAAGCAAAGGATGTGAAAGGGGAAATGAGGTGAAGCAGAGACGGGGGTCTGTCTGTCTAGGGAGCATTTTGTGTGAAAAACAAGAAAGCCGCCAGATATTCAGAAGGGGACTAGGAGAGATAGGATGGGGAGGTAGCTGGGGGTCAGACCACACAGACATCCACCAGTAACACACTGGAATTTTTCTATGTGTACAGAGATGGCTGACAAAGAAAACGTTTGTGTTTTCCATGGGCGAGGAAGGGGGACTTCTGTCATGTACAACTGTGGTGACTTACTGTGAATTATCCTCATTGTTTATTCTCTTGAGCTCTCGTATGTGAAGATTCCTAACTCTTTCCAAACGCTCCAGCTCCGCCTGGATTTCGGCTTCTTCCTGAAATGAAGAGAGGAAACTATAACAAGATCTGTTTATTTGTGATATAAAAGGACATTTTACCCATGTATCCATTTTCACAGCAACGAAAACAATAGTGTATTACAAAGTACCACTGAGTTGGAAGACCAGAGTGTTCTCTTGGCGCCTCAGAGACACAAGAGCAAGGCCTATTGCAGGGCCCGTCCTCTACCCCAAAGCTGCACCTAATGAAAGCCCAGTTACTCTGTACTCCAAAAAATCTATTTTGATAATATCTAAACTGAGTGACTGCAAAGCAGTATATGAAGCTGGTTATCACACAAGATGGATTCCCAAATCTTAATTTAAGAGGAACAAATTTACTAACACAAAGTAAATAAATGTATTTTTTAATAACCATTAAAGGGACTAGCTAGATCCTTATAAAATTTGGAATACAAGTACATTTGTTGGATAAATCCCTATAATCTTCAAGACACATTTAAGCAAAGTTATGAACAGCAATGGCAGATCCTCAGTTACCAGAGCAGATGAAGGCCGAGTCCTAAAGATGTACTTCAAAAGAATTCAGTACAAAGATGTTGATATATGCATTTTCATGTCTTTATGTGTACTGGTATTTTGCCTGTGAGGATATAGAATCCCCTAGAACTGGAGTTCTGAGACATATTGGGTTCTTGAGAGATTTTTTTTTTCTTCAAAAAGATGAACAGTCTTTCTTGTTGGTACTGGAGAACACGCAGGGCCTCTTGCATGCAGGCAAGCATTTTAACCCTGAGCTACACTCCTTGCTTTTAGCTAAGCTTTCTTAAGTGAAACAACTCACTGTACAAACAGGAAATGGATTGACAAGCTTTGGAACAATGGATTCAGAACACAGCTAGCCTAGTTGTCCTAATTTTGTCATACAAAGTAGAAAAAACTAGCCCTTTCGATAGGTAAAAAGCATGGTAAAGAATCTAAAAGAGGTTGACAGTTCTTTTCACATGACTACCATGTGGTAGTTAGGCTGGTGACCGTTCAAAGGGTCTGATCATGTACATCAAGCCTATCAGAATAGCAACCAGAACACCTGTTGCAATTTTACTTGGAATTATTACATGGAGATACAATTTCAACAGTGTCTTTCCAGAAATTTAGTCTTAACCATTGAACTACAAGATTCACCTAGACTGCTGAACAGAGTAACACTTGTTTTATTGTCTTCAGTTATCTATATAATAGAGGTAACCTGTGGATAAAGTTTCTAAAGGCAGTATGAACTATATTTACACTTCCCATCTGGTAACTTTGTAATTCTTAGACTTTAAAACAAAGGACATACTCTAGGAGGAATACAATTCTGCGACTTTGAAGTAATTTCTCTCAAATTTCACTGAGAAAAAGTATATTGTTATAGAGTGAATAGTTTTCCCTCAAATTCATACAGCGAGGCCTTAATTCCCAAACAAACCATGTAGAGGCCAGGAAGAGGGTCTTCTCTGAAAGCAAACTCCACTAAACCCAGATCTAGACCCTCAAACAAGAAACTACACTTCGTCGCTCCAGCCACCAGCCTGGTATTTTGCTATGGCCGCCCAAGCACACACATACATTCAACCATAATATAAATATTTAATATGCTACCCAAAAGGAGCTCCGACCCACAGGTTGTGAACCACTGCTTAAGCAAATGCCAGAGGCCCAGTAACCTCTCCTAACAGGAAAGGGTGTAGCCCAGCTGGAGTATGCTCCACAAGTATCGGCAACTATGTTACCTTTCCTCAGATACTTTCCAAAGGTCTGTCCTATAGCTATCTTCTTAATACTGGAGAATGACGTTCATCTTTTTCAGTGGGTTCAGAAGTGAGGATAATCCAACTTCACAGCTAATCACAGAATGGTATCCTCACACTCACAAATTAATAAAATAAGAGAATCTAACCAACTACTATATTTCACTGGGCATTATGGTGCACATTTTAGTTTCAGCACTCCAGAGGCAGGAATCTGAGTTCAAGGCCAGTCTGGAATATAGAGCAAGCTCCAGGCCAGACAAGGTTGCACAGTGAGACCCTATCTCAAAAACAGTTCTAATTCTGGGTTCAACCACTAGCTAGCCAGGTATTTAAAGCAGAGACTCTCTGTAGGCAGTTACAGACTAGAAGGAACATCAGTAAGAACAGACTGCATTAAAGAGCAGTAGGTTTCATGATCAAACACAAAATAAAAGAACACAGCTCTTCTCTATTCAAGCCCAAAATGGAAGCCACTGGCAATTTCACAATACATACTGCAGTGATTTACAGCACCTCAAACAATGTCAGTGCTCTAACGTACATCACAAAGATCAAGTCATATGAACAGCAGAAGACCGCAATACCGCCTCATTAAATGACCCGCAAAAATACTACTTTCCAATATATAAATATATATTGGTTTTTCAAGACAGGGTTTCTCTATGTAGCCCTGGCTGTCCTTTAACTCACAAGACCCATCTGCCTCTGCCTTCTGAGTGTGGGGATTAAAGGTGTGCACCACCACCATCTGGTACTTTCCAATATTTTTAATGAAAAATAAGTCCCATGACCACTTGAACAGAACAATTTGTCTCTTAACAGATCTTCAGCACAAAAATGTATCTTATTCATAATTAGTCTCTTTTGGCAACATTTCCCTGGTTCATGAGTTACATCCAGTCCAGTCCACTCTCTTGCCTCCAACTCCTGTGTCCTTCCGTTCCCTCTTGAATTCATGACCTCTTTTTAAACACACACACACACACACAGAGAGAGAGAGAGAGAGAGAGAGAGAGAGAGAGAGAGAGAGAGAGAGAGAGAGAGAGAGACGGAGAGAGAGCTTTATCAATTATTTACTTCAACTTTATCCTTTTTATGTAGATATAGGAGACATGAACCAACAGCTGAACAAATTATTACGTACAGAGCAGGTCTGATTTGATCTCAGCTGTCACACTTGAGTATGACTATGTAGCTGGGAAAGGAGGAAGAAGACGTAAAGGCCCTGGGAGTCACAGTTATTTTCTTTAACTACACATGGCTGTTCTGGTTGTTTCCAATCAGGATACCACCAATCACTGATGGGGGAACACACTCTCTTTCCTGATGTCTTCCTCTTCCCCACTTCATTTGCTTCATTTCCTCTTAACAGAGAAGGGTGTGTGTTTGTTTTACTCTCTCTTCAAATGCACAAATATATACACTGAAACTTTTTTCCCCGAGACAGGGTTTCTCTGTGTAGCTTTGCGCCTTTCCTGGAACTCATACTGTAGCCCAGACTGGCCTCAAGCTCACAGAAATCCACCTGCCTCTGCCTCCCAAGTGCTGGGATTAAAGGCGTGCGCCACCACCACCCAGCTACACTGAAACTTTTAACTGGGCATGAATGCTAAACAAGACAGGTTTGTTCCTATGCAAGCTTCTCCATTTTACATCAACAAAGCAGCTTGTCTAAGCAGCTGTAAATAAATGTAAGAATCCCAATGCCTGGCAATTTTAAAGTATAATATTTAGTATTTGTATTATAGGGAAATCCCTTAAATACTAAGCAGGGTGCTGACACTGTCTAGCAGGCCCATGTACAGTAGATGGCACAGTACAATGTAGTCCTTTCTTCCAGTTTTCCATGGCCTTTGAACCCTTTTCAGGAGATTGGTGGATCATATACCCTTAAAAAAACAGTATAAAAAGTTAACTTCTTACTCGACAATGGGAAGGGTTCAGCCTTAACATACTGAGCATGTGTGTACATGTAAAAGCACAGATTTATAATTTTGACTGGAAATGGCCAGTAGCCAAGAAAGTAAGTATTCTTTATGAAACAGTGACTTCTAGATTAAACAATTCTGTGCTAAGTGAGGAAAATTTGACTTGCAATATTAAAACAGCAACAAAAAATAAACTGTGTGTGTGTGTGTAGTCAAGGGTGATCTTGAACTCCCAATCCTCCTTGGATAATATGCACACACTAGCACCTCCAGATGATAGGGTTAAAACTCTAGGTTCATGCATGCCAGGCAAACACTCTACCAAGTGAGCACACCCCTTGCCCCACAAAAATGTTTAAATCCTACAGCTTAAGCAAGTAAATTAATATATTAAAAACCAAAGAAAGAAAACTTTGCCTCTAAATTTTCCTTTTGGTAAGTGACTATCATCTACTACCAAGTCAGGGAATCTGATTATAAGAACCAGACTTTTCTACATCTGGCAAGGAGGAGGTGGACCATAAACAACAGAGCTTCCATTTACAGCTAGTTCCATGCGCTCAGCAACCATCCTTCAAAACCTACTCATGTTTAAGTAGGAAGAAATAGCAAGGACAAAACGTCAACTAGGAATAACAATGTGCTTCTCAGCACCTTTCTTGCCCACACACAGCCAGAAACCTCCTGACATTCTTCCTGGGCTTAACTGTGACTTTTTCAAGCAGAGCATTTTCCACCAATGTCCCCTGAAAACTACTCCTACTCCTGCAAGAGAACCGTGTCATAGTTTACAGAAACATAATGTGTCTGTGGTTCGCCTTAAGTAAGAGAATTTTCAAAAGATTTCTTTTGGTTATGGCCACAAATATAGCCGTGAATACACAGATCTAAAAATAAGCTGTCTATACTGCTCATTGTTTTCATTCAAAACTAAAATGAGAAGAAATGTCATATATGGAATTTATTTTTGTGGTCATACTAAGGATTTGATAACTTGGATGATATTGAGTGTGCTAAAAGGCTAAAAGAGATACCAAAGTTGGTCAGGAATATGTGGAGTCAATTCACCTAAAACCAACGCCCTGCATTCTCCACTGTTCAAAAGGCTTGTAGGCAATCCAGTCTTGTCCGTTTCAACTGGCTGCATGTTCCACTGTGAGGAGTGAGAAAAGAGCTGTGAGCTTGTTCTCGGCCTGTAAAGAGTCACCATGGAGGTGAGTACTGATGCTGCTGCTGCCTGTCACTGCTTGTCTCTCTTTGCAGGTGCCAAGATGGTCAGAGAACAGGAGGTCAGTGGCAGGGTTGTTGCTACACTGCTATCTCTTCAGAACAGGCACAAGGAGAGACGAATGCCACATCGCAAGGAGCAGAGGAGAAAGAGAGAAAGAAATGTGTCAGGTGGCATGTTGGATGTGATTCTGTTTCAGTAGAGACTGAGATGACCATCAATTGCTTAGCTGACTGCTTCAGGCTGATACCTTTGTGTCTGCTGAGGAGTCTTACCTAGCCCTATTTCAACTACAGATTGCTCTTGTCTCCCCAATAAAACTTCTGCCACTTAAACAAGGTCTTATAAATCTGTCTCTGTCTCTCTTTCACACACACACACACACACACACACACACACACACACACACACACACAAACACACACACACACACACACCCCTCATTCCCCAATCCCTCCT